AAAAATAAAAACATGATCGCTTTCTCAAAATCACATAAAGCCATATTATAACATCGACTGAGATAAAGAATAAAATGAAATATTAAAATCACGATGTATCTCGCTGCATTACGCGAGTACGCTTCTAGTTATTTAATAAATACAAGTAAATATTTTTATATCTTTATTTTGGACCGTTAAAAGAAGGTCATGTAACCGTTTACAATCATCACAAGGCGTTAAATAGACGTCTTAGATTCAATTAATTCAAGAACTCGAGTAAAACCTTAATTTTAAATGGATCGGATTGATTTTTATTAAATTATGCATCAATTAATAACAGTAACCTCGGTAAATGATGACTCAACATGGATAAATGGTACCTTTTTGAAGCGGAGACAATTTTAGAGTAAGTTTATGAAGATGAAAGCTTCAATACATTGCGACCCTTGAGACATATTTCTATTCATTTATTTTATTTTAAGACGGTTAAGTTGTTGTTTTTTTCTATTCATAATTGTGTGGAAACTTTGTCATTTCCTTTGTAGGGTATTGGTGATAATTATCGTAGATGAAGATGAGTAATAATGATACTTCATCTGATAATTGATAAATAAATAAAACTCGTGGATTATTGTATGGATTTTTAATTTTTCATCATTTGTAGACAAGTGATTGATCACTTTCTGAAAAATATTATCACTTCACTTTATAGAGAAGTCATTAATCATTTATTTATATCAAATTTCTAAGTTGTAGAATAAGTGACACCTTGTTGTCTAAAATTTATAAGTTGCAACATAACTTATTATTCATTGTCTAATCTTTTTAACGTTTGCTAACATGTTATGAATTATTTATAAAGTGATTCTTTGTACCCTAACTTTTTTATTTATTTATTAACCTGAATATCCCAACCCGTTATACGAACCGACTAATTCCATGACGATCACCTGCTTTGCAGATAGTCCGGAGTCACCGCATTTAAACTTCCGTGACCACAAGGGGATTTTTATTTCTCCTTGGATTTGAATATGGGACCTCATGATACTTTTGACCTTTGAAGCCAAGCTCAAACCAATCCGGCACCACCCTTATGGTTAACTTTTTTTTTTTATCATTCTTATAAGTAGTGATGGCCAAAAACCCCCCAAGATTTCTCATAACCGGTCCCGGTCCCGCTCGAAAAAGTTGAGCCCGGTCAAGCTTTATTGTAACCGGTTATAGGCTACCGGTCCCAGTCCCAACCGGTCTCGGTCATTAAAAAATATATATATTAATGATATATATTTTTAATACATTATAAAATTTGTAATTGGGTTACTTAAATACACTTTAAAAATGCGTTTTATTATAATTAAAATTACATTGTCTTACAAAATATAGTGATAGACCGATAATTGTGAACGTTTTTGTTTTGCGTTTTTTGCGAATCGAGAACTTGGTATTTAAATCCATCAACCAAGACACTTGTATATAGTGTTTAGAAAGTAAAAAATACAAAAAAGAGCCAAAAAACGGCTACATTTTTTAAAAATCAGGCCGGTCCATAACCGGTCCCGGTCCCGCAAAGCACCCAAAATCCATAACCGGTCCTGATCCTCCTACGGACCCAGGCCGGACCGGTTTAGCCATCACTACTTATAAGTATTTAATTGTTATATGAGATTTTGAAGTTACAAAAAAACAAAAATGATTGTTTATTTTTTAAACCATTTATATATATATATATATATATATATATATGGGCAGGTTCAAATGCAAACCATTCAATTCTAAAAAACCGTGTAAACCAATTTCGACCAATAAGAAAATTCCATTTGTTTTTAATTAAATTTAATTGATAAGAGTATTTATATCATTTTACACAATTTTTTGATAATTAAGGAAGTTATTAATACATTTTATTTAAGGCAATTTAATAAAAGAAAGTATGAAAATGGTAACGTTTCAAACTTTTATTATATTATATTATATTATTAAAATCTTGATTTTTAATTATTTGGTATGCAATGAATCTGGAAAGCTTGTATGAAGATTATATCAACTTTAGGAATGAAATCGTGGGTTGAGGTTGGAGAAAAAAAAATCAATGTTCATGAAACTGTATTAATATGAAAAAATTTCATTGTAAAATGATTTATTTTCTTCTTCAACGCATATGGTATATATAAATGAAATAGGTTCATGATGGWAAAACATTTTCATTTTCTAATTGATTCGTGATTCATGAACTAGTTTCATGGTGATCAATGTTGCATTGTAATCGAAGTTGATCAGTTTAGTTGGTAGAATGAACATGAAACGAGTGCATAATGGATTTTGTTCGTTATGAAATATACGTACCATGAAACGGGTGCATAGTTAATGAAATAGATTCATGTAAAATAGTTAATAAAATAGTTAATGAAATAGATTCATGTAAAATAGGTAATGAAATAGATTCATGTAAAATAGTTAATAAAATAGTTAATGAAATAKATTCATAGTTAATGAAATAATGCATAATGGATTTTGTTCGTTATGAAATTAATCTGCATATAAAAATTTCAATGTGAAAAGGTTTCATTGCAAAATAATTAATGAAATATATTCATGATGATGAAACATTTTCATTAATAATATAATTTACCTGATATGGTTGCCTTGAATAAAAAATACTATGAATTAAATTTGTTTACCGATTCTACCCTTATTGATGAAATAAAATAAATATCAATTATTTTTTAATTTTTAATTTCCTAAAATAAGGTAATGTAATCTTAGCCATTGATCAAAAAATGAATGGATGAGATTGGTTTACACGGTTTATACAAATGGATCAAGTTTTTATTTGAACGCTCTTCTCTCTATATATATATATATATATATATGACAAAGATCAAACAAAATATAAAATACGAACACCCATACCACATTGATATATTTCAATCATGTCATACTAGATAAAAAAAAGTGTATGACTTTGGCGCTACATAGCTCACGAGTTTGCACACTTCCAGATTCTGTATATTTTTAATATTAGGTTTTCATAAAGGAAACATCTTTATATATTCTTATCTACTAATTTTCTTCTTGCATATATCAACATAAATATTTACTTTTTATATTCGGGGCCTTTCCTAGGGGAGGGTGGACGTACGCCCAGGCCCCAAGGATTTTTTAGTATATGGTATTAGTTTAAAATAATTAATAAATAAAATAGACATAAATTTTCTAGTATCTAATAGAACTAAAAAAGAATTTAATATTACATTAACTATCATATATTAATTAAATATATTGGAGAAGTAAATATGTAAAAAAGTTAATTGGTTGTTCATTTTATAGTATTGCTTATTGTTTACCTAATATCAACGTTTAAAACTATTTGCCTATCGACTCTTTTGATTATTCCATCTTCACATGAATCCATTTTGTCTTAAAATATAATAGATTTTCTTGTTATTAGCTAAGAAAACCCCCATCTATCTTTTGTAAAAATTATTAACATTATGAGCCGATATAACTTATATCTATATTTATAATTTTAAAACTATAATTGTTTTTCATACTTTGTTTTTATTATATAATATTGAGTGCATAAATATTATGTACACTTTCATAAAAAAAGAATAAGATCTCAAGCTATAACAACATGATATTTATATTAATAAAATTGATGATTTAGAAAAAGTTTGTTTTAATCTTTACACTATTTTCTTGAACTTTTTTTACGAACAAAAGGAAGGGAAAGTAATGTGAAAAGAAAAAAAAAAAATCCTTTGTTCTCGAGTTTTTTAGTAAAAGAATTAGAAAAAAAATTATATCAAAATTTATTTTTATTTCATTCTCTTTCCTTGCTCCATCTATGCCAGATTCATTTAGGTAAACTAGAAGGATACTCGTACAATGTACCGAGATATATCAAGATAATGTTTCGTTTTATTTTTTGTTCTTGTCGATATAATACGGTTTTATGTGATTTTGAGAAAACGATAATGTTTATATTCATAAAAATTTTAAAAAAATATATCAATATTAGTATGAAATAACTATTTAAAATTCTCGTTCTTTATGAAATTTTTTTAATTCAAATTTTTTATTATAATTTAATTTAGATTTAATAATAAAATAATTTATTTTTTGTTTAATAATATAATTTTTATAAGAATAATAATTAAGTATTCTGTTATAAGTGTAACCCAATAATTATATTTTAGATTTTTTATATTTAAAATAAAATATTTATTGTTTAGTTGATTATGTTTATCTGCAGTTAATTACACGAATTCAAACATGAAGCTTTAATAAGTTATATTTATGCACAATCTACTTGTAATTTTGAATTTTAAGTAATATGCATCAATAAACAGTACGTCATGCTTAAAAAATAATTTTTAAAATTTTTTATCAAATAATTTATAATATAATATAGATTACTTTAAACCCGTTTTTGACGGATGATTTTAACGTAAAAATGATGCATTTTACTTGCAGTTTCCTAAACCGATGGTTATATGAAACAAATACCGTAGCATACACTATACGGGGTGCAGTGCAAGGCTGTAGGGCACGGATAGAAGGTGGTATTTGTATTTCAGATCGCCTGTAAAATCATCGAAGGAAATGGAAGCTTTGGTATGCAGGAAGCTCGGTGATCCAACAACCCCACCCGATTCGTCGGAAGATTCTTCTCTCACTGTCTCAACATCTCACCCAATCCCCAAACTTGATTCTCCCACTTCAGTCAGAGTTCGAATCAAGTCCACCAGCTTAAATTATGCCAACTACCTTCAAGTCCTCGGTAAGTATCAAGAAAAGTTCGCTTTGCCTTTCGTTCCTGGTTCCGATTTCTCCGGCATCGTCGAATCCGTCGGTCCCGATGTCACCAACTTCAAAATCGGCGATCCTGTTTGTTCCTTCGCCGGTGTAGGTTCTTTCGCCCAATTTATCGTTGCCGAAGAGAAGGATTTGTGAGTAATCCTTTCACTTTTCGGCATATGAATTTTGGTTTTCTGCGTTCAACTTATGGCTTCAATCTCCCCTAATTTTGAGTTTTACTGAGAAATTGAAGGTTTGGAGTTCCTGATGGGTGTGATCTGGTGGCTGCTGGTGCACTTCCAGTTGCATATGGAACATCTCATGTAGCTTTGGTTCATAGAGCCAACCTCAAATCTGGTCAGGTATCGCTATCACCCTATATCTTGTTCAACACCTTTTTCCCTTCCGTTTTCAATTTTACTATTCTCTTCAACTACAGTATTCTTTTTCTTTTTTGACTATAAAGAGGTGAAATATGACTTCATGTTAAGTAAACCAGATTTTAACTTCTGTTTGACATGAAATTGAAAATAGTTCTGAGAAAGAAAGTGACAATTGCTAGCTCAACTGGCAACAAGTTTTGGGTCTTTGGCTCTCCTGTTGGATGAGGATGTGATTATATTCCTTGACGGGGTTGGGGATGGGGACGGGGATAGAGATAAGTAATCGGGGACGGGGATTGTTGTCCCCGCCCCATTCCCATGCCTACCCATGCTTCACTGGTTCGAGTCCCTTCAAGGCCAATGAGGATTTTCGTGGTTGTTCTTTGGGACCCCATAGGATTAGTTTAAGTGCGTGCAAGCTGACCCCTATGCTGTTACTTGCGGCTATATCTCGGATAGCGGACTTTAGCAAAATAACAGTGGTCAGATTGCGGTTTAAATTGTGGTAGCGCAATTATCGGTGCAATTTACCGCAATTTTGACCGATATTTAGGATCAATTGCGTTCGATATTAACGTTACTTTTCTGGGGGTTTGGGCTTTATTTTCGCTCTCTGATTTTAGATAGTTGGGCTTTATTTCCGGTCCTTCTTTTTTTGGGATCTATTTTCAGCCTCTGTTTTTAGCCTAAACGAAGAACTGAACGTATTAGATGATGTGGACTCGGATGCCGAACCTATTGCTTGCGATTAGCTCGTTTATGAACACTTTTCCTATTTTGCAAATGATATGTTTATGTAGGCATATTATATATAATTCTAAGAAATATTATATGAACCACTGTTTTTGGACCGCTATAACCGCTATTTCAAATATCGGTCCCGACCGCAATTTTGTATTTTCACCGCTATAACAGCATAGGCTGACCCAGACAATCACGGTTACCAAAAAAGATTTACAATAAACTAAGTTGCTACAACTAGAAAAACATTGGTGCTAAATATACCAAAAAGTACCCAGATTTTAAAACTCAAATATCAAATGCTTACAAGCAAGTTATGGACGTACGAGATCATACAAAATTTCAGGTGTTGCTAGTTCTTGGTGCAGCTGGAGGTGTTGGTCTTGCAGCTGTTCAGATCGGAAAGGTTTGTGGTGCCACTGTCATTGCCGTTGCTAGGTGTGTGTTTCGTGTGTATGAATTCCATAGTTGCCCATAATTTTGGATTTGTTGTGGTTTGACCATTTGAAATCGCAGAGGAGCCGAGAAAGTAGAATTTTTGAAGTCAATGGGCGTGGATCATGTTGTTGACTTGAGCAAAGGAGGTGTTATTGAAAGCGTGAAGGCATTTTTGCGAACACGAAAGCTGAAAGGGGTCGATGTTTTGTATGATCCGGTTGGAGGCAAGCTTACGAAAGAAAGCATGAAGTTGTTGAGTTGGGGAGCACAAATTTTAGTTATAGGGTTCGCAAGTGGCGAGGTCCCTGTTATTCCTGCTAATATCGCCCTTGTTAAGGTACAACAATTGCTTGATTCTTAAAAATCTCATTTTCATGATACACTACAACATAATCGGCTTTAAAGGGCTCAAAATATTTTTAAGTGCCCTAATTGACTGTGTTATAGGACCAAACAATTGGATGTCCTATGTGAAAGTGTCACAATAAGTTGATACGCCATAACAAGTTTTTTGAGGACTTCTGAAATAAAGTGTCGTATTAGACCTTTTTATATGGAATTATGGAAAAAAAGGGTCTTATAAAAAGATGGTGAATATGGGCAGAAAGGATTGAACTTTTTGTGTTCTGTTTTTGCAGAATTGGACAATTCATGGACTGTACTGGGGGAGCTATAAAGTGAACCAACCAGAAATACTTGAAGACTCTTTAAAGGAGCTTCTATCTTGGTTGGCAAAAGGCCTAATTACCATCTACATTTCTCAATCGTACAAACTCCGACAGGTATCAATTAATTCTTCATTTATTGAGGTTAAGTAACGAGTCATATATACTCTTGTTACCCCTCCCAGTTACTTTTCCGCCTTACAAAAAATTGCAACATTTGATACAACAGATAGTCTAATATAAGTGTTCAATCATTAGTTAGATGTCTAAAACGTCCCCAGATCATGAAAATTTAACAGAGTCTTGCGGATTGAAATAAATATCATCAAGCACGTTTAATAGATGGAAGTGTTTGATGAATACATAAACGTTTGATGTGCCTTTTAATAATGACAAAATAAGAGAATCTTGTAGATTTCAAATAAAAACATCAGTAGTTTGCAGCAATGACTATGCACAAACATATGGTTTTTACCTTTGATATGGAGAACACTCGTATGCTTACTGCCTCTTACCTGGTAAGAGGTGTTTACCGAATAAAAGATGATGTATTTTTTTTTACCAACATCATCTGACTGAAAATGTTTTCGACCAAGATGCTAATCTGGTAAGGTTGGAGTGTCTCTCTACTCATTCATGGCTTACCTAGACCACACTTTTACCTGGTTACCCAATTTGCGTTGGTAAACAACTAGAACGGAACTATTGTGATGTTCGTATTGTAAATGTTGTTGGCAGGCCAACCTTGCGTTCTTGGATATCAGGGACCGGAAAGTAATTGGGAAGGTAATGCTTACTTTTGATGACCCCAAAAGCATAACTTCTTCTAGGCTCTAGACTACAATTCCTCAAATGTGAAGATGATATAGGTAAGTACCAAAACTCATGCGAATTCTACTTACAATAGCCGTAATAGAACAATAGCATATTGGCATATGTGGTTTCAACGTCAATAACATTTTTGTTCTTAAATAAGGCGTGGTGTTGGTGATAATTATGAAAGATGTTATAGAATTTATGGAGAGTGAATGAGTTTATAATAGTTTCTTGTGGGTTTTTTGTTTACATGAGTTGAAGTCTTTGAAGATAGCAATGGAATGTGGCTTCCCTTTGAAATCATGGACATAGACTCTCTCTCTCTCTTTTGTGTGGGTGTGTTTTAGAGTTCAGACTACAAATGCTACATGAAAAACCTTTTTCTTTCTCTTATGCTCTTTTGAGAGCCAAAAGGAAGCTATAATACCAAATCAAAGCAAACGAGCCTCTAGTAAATACAACCCAGTGGTGGCCGGTGGAGTCTGGGGAGGATAAGACGTACATACACCTGATTTCTATCTCAGAGAGTAAGATAAAAAAAACCCCGGAGATTAGAAAAGCTAGTATGTCTAAATTTGATATAAGTAAGCAAAAGTAATATAATACCCCTCTTCAAGATGTATACAAATGTATTTAATGTTATAAAATTTTAGTACAAATCTACCTTGTATGCGAATTCTCGCATCCGATCGTACTAAGTGTTGGTTGAAAAATGATTGCTTACATATCTATACTATCTTATAAAGCATTTGGCTAAAACTCTTAAAAACTTCTAAAACTTTTAAACCCGTTCATCCCTATCCGATTTCATCYCATATCTGAATTCGTATAACTAATTGCAGATAAACACAATCAAATACAGGATAAACATCACATTTTAAATATAAAAAATCTAAAATATAATTAGGATAATCATTGAGTTCTAACTGAATACTTAATTATTATCTTTATAAAATGTTATATTATTAAACTAAAAATAAATTATTTCATTATTAAACTTAAATTAAATTATTAAAAAAAATCTATACTATATTATAAAGCATTTGACAAAAACTCTTAAAAACTAATTTTTATGCGTAAAGTACTGTTTATTAATGCATGGTACTTAAAACTCAAGATTACAAGTAGATTGTGCGTAAGTACAACTTATTAAAGCTCTATATATGAATTCGTGTAACTAATTGCAGATAAACATAATCAAAAATACAAGATAAATATTTTATTTTAAATATAAAAAATCTAAAATATAATTAGGATAATCATTGAATTCTAATAGAATACTTAATTATTATCTTTATAAAATGTTATATTTTTAAACCAAAAATAAATTATTTCATTATCAAACTTAAATTAAATTATAATAAAAAAATAAGTTAAATAAATTACATAAA